TGTGAGAATATTTCAAAAAATCACACAGCTTATAGTGACATTGCTATTGTTTTGGGTCCCAGTCCAAATAAGCTTCAATGATGGCTTAACCAAGATAAGCACGATGAGTTCCCTGGAGAGTGGAAGAGAAAATAATAGGCCAAGTCATCTATATATCTAGCTTTGGACATATCTAAAGAGCATCAGCAACTTTTGCTTACACAGATCTCTTTGGCATGCTAAAAGATTAGGCTTATACCTTTTAGGACACGTCTTTAGTAGCTGACAGTTACGACCCTTTGGTGGATAAAATAGATTAATTCTATAAGGAGTATTTGGCTGTGCATATTGCTGATATTGACACATTGAATACACACTCAAGTGCACAGCACTCTGGAGCACATCTCACTCCCTTTAAAACACTGGATCAGCCACAAGTCTTACAGGGTGAAGAAAGATGTGTATCTGGGATTGGATCCTGGCAACATTTCAAGGAGATTTTGATGGAACCCATAGCTAGTCTAAGGACAGCCCAAAGAGGACTAAAGACTGAGCAAGGCTGGGACAAGCATGCCGTCTGCGGGAGATGGGTATGATACCTGAAAACAGCCCTGAAAACGTGAGCACTAAACTAGAGTGCCAGAGGAGTTTTTAAATGTGGTTAATTATCAACATCAGCAACAAAATAACATAGAACTGAATTTTGGGGTCATGGAGAAAACATGGTTGAGTTAGTAAATTGATAAATGTGGAGGAGGAAAATACTATGGAAGGAGAGGTCTCATCTCGCCATACAGAACACAATGTGTTTTATTAAGACTACAAATGAGAGTAATTATTTATTTATATATGTATTTTGCTAAAGGGTAAATTCAGACGAGTCAAGCTTATCTTGTCACCATTAGTGGTATATTAATTGAAATGTTTTCTTTTGCTTCTGTTTGCCGTCTGGATTATGGGGCAGAGAGCTGTATGCTTGTGCCAGGATGTTTGATGGGACATTGAATTAGCTCAGCATTACAAGACAGCAGCATCCCACTGCTCTTAAATCTTTCTCCTTCCTTCAGTACTTCCTGCTACATTTGTCTGAATCTGCTCTTGCTCAAGGTATTGACACAGGAAAACAGGTTTTGCCAAGGTTATTTCTCTGCACATAATAAATTTTAAACCCTCTAAATGGCTCATTCTTTAGGTGAGTTTTCTTTCCTCTGGTTAAAGAGAAGAAAAAGCATTTCACAAACAAGATCCTTCCTCTTTTTTTGTGTCGTATTAATTTCCTTCTCAGAGTAAATAGTTTCCTTAATAGCTCCATCCCACACAGGCACCACCAAAATAAGTCTTCACCACTGTTGAAGACAGTGCATCTTGGAGTCAGTACCTCCTGTTTAGTTTGGCATCTGCATGTCTAAGTAGAGAGGTTTGTGAATGTCTCGAGGAAAGGAGTTTAATTGAAAGAGCCCATTCATAGAGTAAGTAGATCTGAGTACCAGAAAGCCAGTTCTGCCTACCCCAGAATCATTTCTGCAATAGCTGACTTCTTTGGAAAGGAATTTGTTCCCATTTCAACTCTCATCTCGTTAAATTCAATTGTAGTCCAGTTGATGGTATGGTGAGCTCAATTAAGATATAGGAGGTTTCTAGTTTTGAGATAAAGTGTTCTCAATCAGGTCTAAATTACAGTCCAAAGAAATGGACCTCAAAACTTGCCACTGATCTGGGTGCTCAGAAAATGTTGTTACAAGTGCTGCAACCTCCATCCACAGTCAGCATCACACATTAGCATCCATGGTCCATTTAATACCAATTTTTTTCTTTGCTTTCTTATTGGAGCACAGGAAAATGCTTCCCTTCCTTCCATTCCCCTCTTGCAGTCTTGCAAGGTGAGACTCTACTCATCAATCAGATGAGCTACTGGTATAAGTGTAGTCATTCATATTCATCATTAATAAAGCTGTACTGTTCTACTAAAGATCTGACTTCCACCTGCATTTAGGTATTATAGTTTTCTGCTGGAAACAGTGACTTTTGTCAGTGGAAAGTAGAACTGCAACGGTTATCAGGCTGTCCTTGATTTGGAGCTTGCTTTTTGGAATGGATGGACTCTCAGGTCTCTCATATAATCCAAAACATTGGATTTTGGTGATGGAGAAACCATGACAAGAAATGGAAGTAGGTGTAGTGGGGGGAGGGGGTGTTGCACACATAGACCTTCCTGTGATTGAGGTCTGAGACATGTACATGCCTTGGCTGACATCCCAACTAAAATGAAATCAATTATAAATTTGCCTTTGTTTTCAGCAGGAGATGTCTTTCATCTCTGTCTGCTGTATATCATCTATTTCAGTCTTAACTACACATTTTATTGTTGGTTTTATTTTGAAAGAATATGTGGCCAAGCTGTATATCCATGTTTTTCAACCTAGCCACACAGATTTTAAAAAAAAGTTTTTCTGTAAAATTAAAGAATATGAGCAAGCAACGTATCTCAGGAAAGAGATGTTTAAATTGCACATTTGGCATTACTGTTACATTAGCCAATCATATTAACACTTCTACAGTGTTTTTATCTCCAAAAAATGCCACACAACTCAGTTTAATACTGATCAAAATATCATATTCCATAAGAATATCAATATGTGGACTGGAATCAATGAAAAATATTAAGAGAGAAGATTGTGATTCTGCAAATCCTGTACACAACAGTGAGATTGTTCTCTCAGCAATGAACTTTGCTAGTTGGAGTATGAGAAGACACAGAACTTACTCAGTGGTCTAAAAGCAAAAGTGTCCAGAGAGCAAAGACAACTGAAGATTAGATCAAATTTTGGGTCTTGTTCCTATAAGCTCTAGTAATTTTTTGAGAGACACTGTTAACCCTGACCTCTACGACAGTTTTATGGAATTTTCCTTGAAACCAGTGAAGTATTACTGAACCTGACCAGATGCCCAGATCTAATGCTGGAGAAGAAAGAACTGGACCAAAGAAACTTGGTAAGCATGAAAGGACCCTACTTTTAAGGAAGCTCCTTTCTTTAGGTGAGGTATTCATGGGCTGTCTGGGTTTTTTTAACTCCTGGTGACAAGTGGAAACAGCAGCAGAGCAGGCTATAAGGGGAGATGTTAGCTCCTTCACAGTAAGCTGAGATTTTTCTCAAAAGGTCTAAATTAGGACAATTCAGTATCTACATAGTCAGGAAGTGATGGGTCTGGCTGTGGAAAGCAATAAGAAGCATCATGCTAAAACAAGGAAAGCATGAATTATTATTCATCTGCTTTGAGTAGAAGGGACTCAAGCAGACAGCAAAGGGACCTATTGTTTCTCTGTGCTGTTCTTTTCCTCTTTGCTTTTATGCTCTCCCAAATAATGTGTTCTTTGATTCACTCCTTGTGAGCAGGAAATATATTGCTCACTGTGTTCTCACAGTTTGATTTGGTTTCTCTATGGTTTTGGATGTTGTCTCAAGATGATGTTAAAAGTGGACATCTAGGTGCAGAACCTGGTGCTTGTTGCTGCCAGCTGGGGCATGGCAAATGAGCTACCCAATTAAGCTGTATACATTAAATGAAGCTGTCACCAATGTGCCAACTAGCTGTACTAAATGTCCAATTTAGAAATCCACCCAGTATCTTTAATTCCAAGGAATATTTTATAAACACACAGGAAAGCATTCACCTACTGTAATGAAGTTGCCTCTGGGGTGCAACATGGGAGCTGTAACCACATGAAGCTGCAGGAGGAGAAAATATATCAGCAGCACACAGTTAATTCCTCTCATTTTCTATACAATACCATGCCAAAATTTCTGCAGCTAAGCAAATAATGTAAGACAACATTGTATGGCAGCTCCTTCACGTGGGTGGCAAGAAGCAGCACAGCATAAGGGTTATTATAAATATTGTGAATCTGTTTGAAAAAAATGTCTCTTGAGTTAATGTTCTGAGGCATATCAAGTTAATATTACTAATAATTTTTTAATACCTTTACAGTATCTTGAGAAAAAGCCAAGAAATTAATTGTTCTCATTCTGTACCATTTGTCATACACTGAGGTCTGCAGGCATCCAGAAATATCCTTGTAAATACTGACAGGTCTGAGTAAAGACTCTGTGGAAACAAAGTTGCCAGTACAGCCCTGTGAAATCTTGTGTTGTTTTCACATAGTCTTTTAATGTAGTCTACTGGTCTCAGGCTTGCATTTTTAACTGCAGGCTTCAAGCAGCCACAGAAAAAATGAATTTTATTTGGGGCATTTTTGTCTCAACTTGCTATTGTCAACACATACCCCAAAAAGCTCATTTCTCCAGTTTACTTACTAGGACCTCTTAGGTTTTATCCAAGAGGCCTTTCAACCCCCTCTTCTCAGATCTTGCCACTTGTGAGATTTTTCCAAAAATGAGTCAGTCCCATCCTTGTGTCCATCATGAGTTGGGGAGGACTGCTAGGCTTTACCACAGTCCCTTGCTTCCTGTGTATCTGTAGGAAATGCAGGGATAGGTCCTGCTGCAGAAGAGCCTGCATTACCACTTTTTAAATTCTCTCTCTGGTGTGAATATATTACTTTGTGTTGTTTCTCTGGTTCTTCTCTATTGGTGTGTTTGGTAAAGTCAGTGAAGTCGGTAAACAGTTCTGTGTTAAAAGTCTCTAACTTTACAGTGTCCCAAACACTGATTTTATGTAAAGTTAAAGAAAATCGACAGTCAGTGATAAACACAGTTAGTAGCATAAATCAAATGACAGCTCTGTATTTCATGCCCTTTGTTCATATAGATGCTGGGTCAGGGAAAGGAAGGAAAAATAACATTGTGGTAGAATTGGATTAGAACATATTTCTTGATTAACACTCACATGTAAATAGCATTTAGGTAAAGTAGCCACTTGCCCTCTAAAAGCATGTGTTCTGATTTAATACATTTATCAGCAGTACTGAAGTACAGTGTGTTTGCTGGAAGCCTTGAAAATAGCCCCAGCTCTGAACTGAATGGTTACTTTTGTCTCCCTTAGGAGCAGAAGGATTTTCCTTATCCAGGGGAAGAAAGAAGTCTTTTCAGAGAGCACGACTTTGCACCAGGTTCTCTGCCAGGAGTCATGGGGCTTTTGGATGCCCTGGAGAGGTCACATCACATTGGTAAGCCTAGCAGGCAGTGAGGGCTGAGAAGACAGGGCATCTCTGCAGCTCCAGGCATTGGCATCCTCAGTGCCATGCCAGACAAAATCACCACAGGCAACAGGCTGTTCCCTCAGGGCACAGAGCATCCTCCTTTGCTCCCTTCCACTTCTTCTGTTCACTTTCACCACCTGCTCCAAACTTCTCTGACAGTCCCAGTTTAATACCCTTGCACCAGTAAAGTCCCGCTCTGCAGGCAAAAGAAGCAAATCTGAACTTTCTCCTAAGCCAAACAGCACTGCTTATTAATCAGCCAGACAGTTCATGTCCAAGAGACATGAGGGCATTCCTTCTGCGGGGAGAACATGCTGCTTCCAGGGAGATCTCTTCCACCATCTGCCCACATCAAATCGAGGAAGCAGGGTATTGGAAAGCAAATTCAGTGCAGATGTATAACACATGAAAGTCTGTTGACTTCAGGGCATATTTGTATTGCATTTAGCCTCAGGAATCTAAACCAGAGACAACTTTTCCTCCCCTGCCCATTGCCACTCCAATGTAGATGTCAGTTGACACATACTGTGACACCTAATTCAGATTGCAGAATGATCGTCAGTGGAGTTGCATTATGTTTTTCATTTGTTATTTGGTTGCTTGCTTCTGCACGGAAAAGTTTACATGGCAATTACAAGACAGGCAACCATTATATAAACTGTGTTATTTTTCCAAATTGAAATTCCCAGTCACCTGTGTGACTTGGGTTGCTAAGCTATTCTCAAAAGATATATAACCTTAATGAATAACTTCTGTAAAATATGCTTAGAAAAGTATTACTGAGCAACTTTTTACTCCATGTTGCAAAGGGCTATAAAATAGCAGCCATAGGCAATGTCATGCTGTCACAGTTGGGTTGTCTCTGGGTTTGATGTACAGAGTGTAGCAGGTCTTTGTTAACTAATGCTAGTTTGGAAGAAGAATGAGGAAGACTGCAGTATCTTCCCTCTCTTAGGCCCTTCCTATTCAAGGAGTTATAAGCATCCAGAAGACAACCACTTCTAAAGGAAAAGCTCCAGGGCTATGTTCATTTAGTCCACCACATTTACCTAGTGCAAATTGTTCCTCTTTTATTTGCCCTTCTTTCAGACAGAGAGATGTTTTAAAAACAAATAAAGGAGAAAATAAGACATTCTTCCATATAAACCTATCCTGAGGAAGGCAAAAACTCAAACAACACGTAAAAATGTTAATTGTGTTGTCAGATACACTTCTGGAAAGAGGTCATGATGATAGTGCTAAGTATGGCACATGTGCTTGAATAAAATGTAACACAATGCTAAATTTAAGAAAATATGAATGGAAGGGTTTCTTTTTTTTTTTTTTTTTTTTTTGAAACATCCTGAACATGTTGGGTTTTCTTGGTTAGCACCTACTGAATTAAAATATGTGGAAACTAAGTAGAAAATACTGTCTTTCTATTATAGATTAAGCCCCTTTTCCCTGTAATTAAAGAAAGCACTTTTCCACTTCAGCAATCCTTCAGCAAAAACAAAGATAGAACTCAATATTCTTGATAGATCTTGGATAAAATGAAGACTGGTTTTATGGGCTGGAAAGAAACAGGACTGCATATCTTGTCTTATTTCAACTCTTAATAGCACATTGTGACCTCTGGCTGAGTCTGATGAAGTCAATGTAGTTGCACCAGGGATTGGTACCAGAGCTCATGGGCTGAAACTACCACTAAATAAAAAGCCAGATGTATATTTTTTTCACTGTTTTATGTTAAACAACTTATTGTATATGAAAATGGAAGAGGGAAGGAATATTCTTACATTTTCCTGCATGTTCCTACAACCACAGAAACATTTGGCAGATGTTCAGCGTGGTCACCCAGAAGATGAGTGGTGAGGGGCTTCAGACCTCCACTAAGCAGAGCAGCTGTCCTTGGATATTTCTTCCTCAGGGGCCAGAAGGAAGGGAGCCAGGAACCTGTTTCACCCTCTGCAAATGGGCACATGGTCACACAGTGAACGCAACCTTGCCAGTGCCTGGGACAAATTAGCTCACACTGAATATGCACTAGCTGTACATGCAGTCCATTTTTCTGCCCGTATCTCTAAAATTTTGGGGTTTCTTCAATATGGTTTTTGGCTGACTGGCAAGGAAAGTGAAATTTGAACTTTAAGAAAAGGATCAAAAATCCACAAAAGGAGTTAAACTTCCAAAGTCAGTATAATTGTGATACTCTGGGCTTTTAGGGGGAAGTGTGCCATTACATTTCCAGAAAAACTGGGAGTGGTGCATTGCCTCAAATAACTGTAAGAGGCAGCAGAACAAGAGTGAACTTTCAGCACCTGAGATTTATGTGTCAAAAACACCTCAGCCCTTGTACATGTTTTATGAGTGTTAAAATAAAAAGTACAGTCCCAATGTGTCAGGCGGTGAACGAGCAATACTTCTATAAGATTTAGCTCTTTGCAGGCAGTTCTTGAAACTCCTTAAATCCCTGAAATTCTCAGTGATTGCTCCAGAGGGGTGTGAAATCTATATCTGGACTTCAGGTTGAGTTTCAGTTGTTGGCTTTAATTGCAGGGGAATTTTGTGCCAGAGAGATCCTAGGAGGCTATAGGGAAAAAGGAGAGAAAAGAAAAAGAAAGTTGTGTTTTGAAGCATGGTTGTTTAATAAACATGTTTCTTCAATAAATAATAAATAAGTCTGGGAATATCTTCTCCTATGCTGTTCCAATGGGGGTAAGCCTGCATTTACATATGGAGACTTGGCAGAATGGGTGTTTGACTCACCAGATATACAGTATAAAGTCTGTGAAATGCTGAATGTGCCAAAGTGAGAGGCAGATTCTGTCAACTTTGCTCCTGACGAGTAGGACTGTGTTCTGCACCTGACTATTTGAGAAGGAAACTACTACACAACGGAAGAAGGTTGTCGATGATGACCAAAATAAATATGGGTCTTTTTTTTAAATTGGTAACGTGGGCTGTTTCCTTTGAGTGAAGAGTTTTTTCAATGGTCTTTGAAGACTTTCTTTTCCATTTGTTTCCCACGTTATTTGTTTCCCACATCTATGTGATTTTAAGCAAGAACCTGCTTGCTGCTAATCTTTTGCAGCCGTATTCTTAAACATCCTGTATACAACACTTGTCACAAGCATTCTGTCCTGGCTATATCATTGCGCATGACCACACAGAAATTCATTTTTAGATCAGGATGGTACTCCAGGAGCTGTTCTTTCAGCTGCGTGCGTGGGCTTAGCAAAGAATATGCAGGCTAAAATTGGAGGGAAGGCTCAATTAACTGCCTCCAGGGTTCTAAAGTACACCATTGCACCCATTTACAGCAAATTTCTCTACAGTTAAAAAGGCAATCTTTTCTGCAGTTTTATTCAAAATCTTGAGTAGAATTTTATGGAGAATTAGATCTGTGGTTCAGCATTTTAAATATCACTTTAAATTCTAATTTTAACAATACAATATTGGGTTTATTTCTACTAAGATCTATAGCACCTTTCCTTAGGACTCCTTATTCCTGGTAAATGTAAAAGACTGTTAAGAGTAAGCATGGAGAATTCTTCTTAAAAAATGTGTACTGTGGCTTCACCTGAGTAACAGAGGTGGAGGGGGCAGAGGTTCACCCAGTCTGAGTGATTTCCTCATGAATGTGATTCATCTTTACTAAGGATGTTAGGATGACTTTCTGGTCATACTTCAGAAAGGATAGAAATATAGCATTTTGAACAGGATTTTTTTTTCCTTAATGGCATACAAAGAAATAAACCATCTTCAGGCTTCCTTTCCCTGGGTCCCAGGTGGAGAAGAGAAGGCATCCACCTTTTCTACTTCATGTCTCCTCTTTCCTTAGGAAACCAAAATCCAGTTATGTCAGTACTGCAGCAAATGGTGTTGAGTTTTACCAGATCTGTACATCAGATTCCTTCATCTACAATTTTTCAGACAGTAACAGTTTCTCAAGTGTCTTTGCAAATGTGATGACACGCCCTTCTGTTTGTATGAGGTGATCAGAAAAGGAAACACCTCAATTAACAGTCTCACTCCTGTGTTGGGCCCTTTTCTGACTGTAACTCTTGCTGTGGGGAAAAAAAAATAGGAGGATTTCCTTGCATATGGTACTGTTAGTTACACTTGGATTGAAGGGCCTAGGAGATTCTTTATATTCAAAGAGCAAACACCGCCACTATCATTATGAATTACTATTCCTGATGAGTCTAATTCTTTTTACTGCCATTACAGCAGATGCTCACATATCTATCCTCAGTGGCCAAATCAATCTTTCCAAACTCCTAATAAATATTCCAGGAAGAATACTAGATTTTATAACAGCATTTCCTGGCCTTGGCAGGAGAAGATAGAGCTGCCCCTTCAAGTTGGCTTTTCACACAGCTTACCTGCAAAGCCTAAGGGACACCAGACAGGGATCCCTTCCTGAACTTTGCTTTTATACAGGCTTTTATTCACAGTGACAGCATTTTTCCCTGTTAACTGCCTTCAGTACAATATTTTTCTCCCTGTGGCTATGTCTCTTCTTTCAGCTTCATCCATCTTCAAGTGCATGAGCTCTGTTGTGGTTAATTACAAACTTCAGGGACTTTTGACATAAGAAATTTCTCAGAACACAAACTAAGTTAACAAATAGGTTGTAGTGGTTTGGTTTCTAAGATAGAAACCCTAGTGAAATAAAACATATGGGTTGCTCAAAGCAGTAGATGTTTAAGAGATGTCAGATTCGTAATCTCCCAAACTAGGTAGGTTGTCTGCATATAGATTTCTTCGTACGTAATTTCTTTCTTGCTATACCATCTAACAGATTAGCAGCTTTGATTAGCTGCTAATCATCACCAGTGTGTCTTCTAGAATGGCTGTTCCTATTTTCCTGTCTTTTCCTGGAAATTCTGTTCCCTATGGTCTTGTTTTATTACATAACAAATTACAGAAAACTAGGAACAAATTATTTCTCACAGCCTTATGGCTTTGTGACATTAGCTGCTACCCTTCCTGTAACTCTTCTGGATACCTTTTGGATCTCACATTTCCTCTGTTCTTACATTAGCTCCTCTTTTCCATAGCTGAGAGAAACAAGAGGTCTTATAAGGAAAAACAGTGCATACATCCATAGGAATGCACCTATGGACAGAGGACAGGTGACATTCCCCCCCTCGAGCCCCCTGAATATCAGGCTAGCCAAGAGATCCAAGGCTTTGAGGGGAGGAATATCAGGAGAAGGCAAAGATTTCCAAAAGAGGCTCTTACCCTGATATATATTGGTTCAGCTCTCTTTATTCTGTGATGTCCATGTGGAGAGTGGGGCAAAAGAGGACGAACAGGAAATATCAGGGGTCTATATAGACTTTGGGCAGGGTGGGCTTCCCTGGCTCTCCGCCAACCCCGCTGGGCAGGAAGGAGAGGTCCAGGTTTATCTTGATCAGAGTCACAGGGTCCCGGGGAAGGGGAAATAGAGTGTGCATGAGCTCACTGTGACAGACAGGTACATGAAAATAGGCAGTACCAGCCCCAGAAGGTTATCAGTCTGTGTTGGTGAGTCTGAAATAGAGTGGGACAGGTAAACCATGGAGTCATTTGGCTATGGGAAGGCACTGCCAAGTGGCTGAGTCAAGCCCTGCTCCTACTTGAGTTTATGGCTTCCTAGCACTAGACAGAACTGCCTCTGAAATACTTGGGGATAAAATAGATGAATGAAATGTTGCCTTTTGGAACAATTTTTTGTTATATGTCTCCCATGTTCTTCTGGTTTTAAGTGTTTTTCAAGGCTGCCAGCAGCCTTGAATTGGCTTTTTTGGAAAGGAGTTTGAACAAGACTGAAATCAAGTTAAAAATGTAATGAGAGTCTGAAACAGTTGAATTATTCTTAAGATTTGCTCATGTTTAGCTATCATTCCATTTATAGAACACTTGTAGGGATTAGCACACAGCGTACCAAAAGAAGCATATGCCTTATGAAATAGCATGCTTCAGGTCCCATAGTTGCTGCTGGGAGATTTCCTCCCTCAATATCTTTTTGTTTTGCTGTATTTTCTTTCGGTCCTAAGAGGGGCTTTGCTAGTGCCAATGCTGTGTTCAGAAAGTAATCTTACCCAATGTCCTCCTACAGTTGGAAAGCACAGCTCACACAGCAGGTGTGGTTTACAAGGGCATAACAATATGTGAAGCAAAAAACATCTGAGTCCTCTCTCTATATCTCTTAAAAGCAGAAACATAATTGGAAAGCAGAGAATGAATTCAAAGATCAACTAAGCCAGGTTGGATGGGTTCTTGGTCTAATGGAAGGTACCCCTGCTCATGGCAGGGGAATTGGAACTAAATGAAATTTGAGGTCCTTTCCAGCCAAAAACCATTCTATGATTGTATGACTTCTGCACTGTTAATATGTAGCAAGGCCTATGCATCTGAAAAGCCCATCCAGTTTTGGATGTGGGGCAGCTGGATTAGTACAAGCACACAGTGGATATCCAGTGGGTCTCATAAGGACAACTCTTAAGTACCAGTTGCAATATAGTGCAATTTTAGGCATACTTTTATCAGTGGCCAACAATGAATTATAACTCCAATTTAAATATATGGGCTTCTTATAAGATATAAAGGCTTTCATAAGAATTAGATCCACAAAAGGCAGCATACTGAAGGGGAAGCAGGACCTGAACAAAGAGAACATGACACAGAGGAGGTAGTGGTGGTGTCTTTTAATTCATAAAATGTAGAAAAAAGACAGTTTGAAATATTATAAACCAACAGCAGGTTACTCATAAATTTCAAAACATCCTCACCATCCAAAGCTTCTTTAAATGGGTGCCATTTGGGGCCTTTAGTGTCTCAGTCTGTTGTTGATCATAATCCTCTCCCTTGTATTCATCTTTGAAGAGTGATGGTCCTCTTTTGTGAATTAGAGAGCTAGAACCCTAAGGAGGTGTACTGTCAAACCTTGTGGGGTGAGATCCCTCTCTCCATGCAAAAGCACAGCTCCTTCTACTTCTCAGTAAAGCTACAGAGGCCAGTAGAATAAAGGCCAGGCCCCCATGTTTCTCTGGGTCCAGAGAAAAGCCCACTGCCTGCAAATGAACTTTCCCATACCAGCATAACAATGAAGAGGATAGGTTATATATACATCAAGTATCCTATCTAAACAGATAGTTAAATAAAAAAAATTTATAACAATACATCTATATTTTTAAACCAGTAGATTTTGTGTGGTTTCAAAATTTTTTCATTCAGTTATTCATGGCAAAATAATGTTTACAGAACAGATAAAGGCAAGCAGAAAGCTGTAAGTAATGAATGTCTAGAAAAGCTGTCTTAAAAACAAGTGTACCTATGAGGAACAATTGGCAGACTGTTGGGACTTTTATGGATAATTACATTACACAGGCTCTCATAATGTCAGATGCAATATAATAAATAGGCTGCTACCTTTGGTGTTCCCTGTAGTCAGCTAGAGCTATCCGAGAGGCAACTCTTCATTTTTCTGGTTTGTGTGAAAATTATGCCTTTTTGTCAGGAGCTCTTTACTTTGCAGAACACCACACCACCCAGCAGTAGCTCGTGGCAGATGTAAATCAATTATACCAAACTGCCAGTGTGGGAATTGGTGCTTGCATTGTCTTTCTCAGCTCTAAATCCTGAGCTTCTCCAAGGACCCACACTTGCCACAGTGATGCTTGCTTGGGGTGGATCCTACACTTGTCATCACCTCTCGCCCTGTGGCTGCCATATATGGTTGACGGCGCTCTGCACCTTGCAGAGGGAACTCAGGATCTCTCAAGACTGGGTATCTACCTTGTTATTTTCCTGGGGAACCAATGAAATTCTGCTGGGAAATTTTTGGGGGGGAGAAGTGGTTTGATTTTTGGGTGTTGGTTGTTTGGGGTTTTCCTGTTCATTTAGAGTGGGGTTTTTTGTTCTGAGAGGGGTTGTTGTTGTATGGTTTGGGGTTGTTTGTTTGTTGTGCTTGTTTTTGATTGGTTGGTTTTGGGTTTTTTTAGCTGTATAGGAATATAAGTCAGGGAAAAAAAAAAGAAAAAAAAGATAAATACATATGGAGCTTATATGCATTTTGCCCTCCACTGAGTACAGAAAGCTCCCTAGGTCTTTCAGAAGAGCATAAAGGGAAAAGAAGTAGCAACTCTTGAGCTTCTCTGAGGTAAGGAATGTCTTGGAGAGGCAAATCTCAGACCCATGCTTCTCACTGTATACTCCCCTGTATGCCCCAGTGGTGGATATCTGTGATAAAAAGGTGTATGTCAGCTCCTCATTCAGCTGGGCTCTCCTCACCTGGCTGCTAATAGCAGACTCCCAAAGGGATGCCTATCCCTGCAGGAAGGAAAGTGCAGCATCCAGCACCAGTGGGAGGCCAGCCAGTATCTGCTGATGTTTGAATTACTGCTCAGACAGGCACACACAAAAGACAGAATTTGGAAGCAGAAGTTGGGGTAGATTTTCTCTACAGTACTCCCTGCTCACACAAGGCAGGGATGGCAAACAGACAAGCACCACTTCCATGGTAATTTTTGTCCCAGCTTGTCCAACATGGTCATGCCATCATGAGGTGGAGGATCAGCTCTTTCCTATCAAATATTTCCATCTCTTTGAAATTATGCTTCTGAGTCTCACAGATTAGAAATAAGATGGACACTTAAACTTGGAGAATTTCACTTCATTTATGGATACAGCTTGAAGCAAGTGGGTTTTTCAAGAAGTGGGGTGAGGAGAGTACTGGTGAGGTTTTATTGATTTGCACTTTTTTTCTCCCTTGTGTCTTTTTTATTCCTGCCCCACTCCCCATCCCAAATCCATGGGATGCATGGGATAGATCTGCAAACAGAGAAATGTTCCAGTTTGCTCAGTATTTACCAGGAACAGAATCTTGCTCTAGGCATTTCTGGTTGTAATCTGAGGCAGAGAGCAAAATAAATGCAGCCATCTTTCAGAGTCTGCTTGAGGAGCCAGTCATTTTATGATATAATGACATGTGCATTTAATAAAGATATAGAGTATTCTAAGGAGAATAAAACTGCACTCTTATCTTAGAGACATATAGACATTAAGAATGAAGATTTCATTTAATTGTGGCTTGCTGCTGTGCACAATTTACCAAAATGGCAGTAAACTGCTATTGAACTGTAACATCTAAAGATGTCTAAGTGCTTGGATAATTTGTGTCTTTTTTCTCCTTTGGAAGATAGTAATAAAATAGCTAAAAAATAGGAAGAAAATATTGTATCCAGGCTTGCAAAGCAAAGAGGGAAGTAGTCACATACTCAAGGGCTCTAATACAAACATCATCCCCAGGAGAGGCATCCTCTCCTTGAGGGATGACCCCCTTACCTTTACTATTACAAATAAATAAAATGATGGGCTTGTATCCCAGAGAGATGCAGTCTAGCAGTACTGGTGCTTTTGAAATTTTGTGAGCCCTTTAAAAAAGTACCCATCAGTAAACTGTGTGTTTAGCTTTCCCTAACTGGATTTTACAGGCCTCTTAAAAGTAGTGTGTGATCCCTTCCTTTCATTATCCCCCATTGAACAGTCAGAGGTAAAACCCAGTGGCTGCAGTTGCACAGGATTTTTGGTCCACAGTTGAATCCCTTTATTGTCACTTAATATGACTCTGAGGGTCTTGGCTCTACTTGGGTGGCCCAGAGAGCTCCCTTTGGTTCCTGCCCATTCCTGGAATCCCTTGGGAATCAGACCAACACACACTGACTTGCCCATGGAGATTATCTGGCAGAAACACCTGAGCCCTGTGGGACTGAGAGAAGCATTTGCACGTCTTCAATGTCTCCTGTGGGGCCTTTGGTTCAAAATGACTATGACAAGATGTAAGCTGGTGTAGCTGGAAGAGTTCTGTTGGTGTTAAAATGCAGAAGAGGCACTTCGCACTAGCAAAGAGAGCCTCAGCTGATGAAGAGCAGGCATGGCATCCAAGTAACTGGACAGCACTGGCCTCCTCAGTGACAGAAGTGGCACCAGTGGTAGCTCCAAGATAAGAGCTGGAGGAGATCCAATCAGGCATTCATGGGAGGAGTTTGGGAGGAGCACAGACAGCAGAAAAGAAGTGTGAGAAACCAAAAGGAAGATTCTGTGAAAGGAGTGCTGAGTTTTATTCAGATTTTTCTTACCTATGAGTAATTTTGTTTCTTTGGTATGGGGTTTTCTGTTTTTTTGGTTTTTTTTTTGTGGGTTTGATACAATTTGTGTGCAACTGGGCATGGCAAGCATTCGTCCTAGCTGCAGAGATTTTATTAGGCTAAGCAATGAGCTCCTGTTCCTTTGATGGGTTCCTCAGAAGGATAATCAGCAGCCAGCTTTCTGCAGGGATGAAGCATGGGGAGCAGAGATTTTATAGATTGCAGTGTTACAGCATCAGTGTTGACCTACCCGTTTACAGAGACAAAGAAAATTGGCACTTGGGTAATGTTTATCAAAAGTATTGTGTTGAAGCACAGTCTCAGGATTATGGATTATACTTATTAATAGAAAATATAATCTGCCTCTAGGAGATAACAAATAAGTAAAGTTCATAGCTATTATTACCTCCAGATATATTCCGTGTGAGTATTTCACACTGAAAGTTATCTTGCATTCATGTAAATTACATTGACTAGAAAATACTAATGCTCTCCCCAAGATAACAAATGTAAATGTAAAATATTCTAATCTAGTGGTGCTAATGTGTCTAGGGAAGGTTTATTACACTATGAAATTTAGATGAATCACAGAAGTGGAATGTTGAATGAAATTACCAGGTAGTGATATCTTCCTCTGTGTACCCAGGCAGGTAGATGCTAATCTGCAGAAATTATGAACACATTCTGCAATGAGAATCCCTCTTTCAGCCATCATCCAGAGACAGAACTGTTCACTTTCCTCTGGATTTGCCAGTGGGATCAAGGAAACACAATAAATTCTTTCTTTGTTTCTCTTTACCTTCAAAATTTTATTTTGTGTATTTGTTTTACTATTTGTATTGAGTTGCTCATTTCTGACACGTCTGCTAGCAAGGAATGAATAAATAAAGCCAAATGAGCTGAATGAGTTGTCTGAAGAGTGTGAAATTTACTTGAAAAATCATTCAGAAGTTGCCTGAGACAAAAAAGAAAACTTAGGAAAATCAGTTACATATTTATAGAAATGTTCTCAGCGTCTTTCAGATCAGTCTGCAGTGCCTCTCCCATTTTGTCCACATGAAAGTGGGAGAGCTTGCAATTTTTGCCAGGCAGCTGTGCAGCCATCCATTAGCCAGGAAGGCTGCTCCAGAGCTCAGGGGAAAGATTTAAAAATAATTTTTATTAGCTTAACATGCTGCTTTCTAAAATGAGTTTTTCACTTAGTTTACCCCAGGGCCTGAGAGTTCAGAGCTCACACCCCCTGGCCACATTGTAAAGTAAAACAATGCCCTGCCTGACAGCTGAAGCCTTTTCTTTGTGTGCAGCCCGCTGTGTTTCTAGTGGAGGTGAAAGGTGCTAGGTTGGCATCCTGGGGCAATAAAGCCCTTCACCAGTTTGTGTTGGTTCAGTAAACGGTTTCATACTAGATTCACCAATGGTCCACATTACCAGCCAGAGGGGTGGTGTCTGAGTAATTCTGTCAGCTGCAGCTCCCTCAGTCCTTTGCCAATTGTCATAGAGTCATTAATGTAATTTCTGGTCATACTTTTGTATCATAATCAGCATCTGTCCAGGACTGCACTGACCCCATTGGGTGTTTCACACAGACCCCAGGCAGTGGTGAGACGGTGGCAGTGTAGAGTCAACACTGAGTTTGACCAGATTTGAGACAATAACCTTGAGAGCTAAGGCTCAGTATGGATTTGCAGCCTGGTGCACAGCAGACAAAAATATCGAGAGTGATAGGAGAAAACTACTTTTAGATAAGAATGAAAGGCAAGTGCCATGAAGAATGAAAGCATTGATTCCACTTCTAAGTGCTCACATAGCAAAAATTATTATCACCCTCTCCTATTTGATGTTCAAAAAGTCATGATTTTCTGAGCTTCACCTTGTATAAGAAGATAAAATATTTGAATTTTCATATCAGCAAAATGACAAAGAACAAGGACTGAATCTTGGCTTGTTGAAGTCAATGGAGTTTTGCCATTGATATTCAATTGAGCCAATTTTCTTCCTCAGGCACATTGTGGATCAAGAATAAGGCATTGATCCTCTGATTTAATTTTTATTTTTTAGTCATCTGCAGTTCAGGAAATATATTTATCAATATGGGACTTTAACCAAAAGTAAGAGGTTTACAAGCAACTAAAACATGTTCTTTCAAGATTTACAAAGCGAATAAACTAGCAAACCCAGTATTTATCCATGAATAACTTTAGGTAGAAAAAAGGATGAAACAGAAAAACAGAACTGACATTATTTAAAGGATTTGTCCACAAATTTTTTTAAACACTAGGAAGAATTTGCTTTAACAGCAATAATATTTTTGAGGTTATTTATATAGGTTTCTTTCTGAAAAAGCTGACTCCTACAGCAGACATATATAAAAGAAATAAAAAGAACTTTTTATTTCTTTGCCTTTTAATCTTTATATGACTTTTTGCCTTAAATCATCAGTCTATCCTTCAAGCTTTTTTGATGTCATCAATAGTGGAGAAGAATGAAAATATGGTTCTTGAATATTATGTTTGTTCTTAAGAGCATATTTTTTCAAATATGTTGTATTGCATGACTATTTTTCAGTTTTAGACTCTTCACGGATATCATTTACTTTGAAGAAGCCTCTAATCCTTTCTTCTCTCATTTTTTCTCTCTTACTGTTTTGACTTCAGAGAGGGAAAGAGGTTTCTTCTTTCACATTTTCCTTGACTGACCCATGAAAATGATGTATGATAGAAGCTTTAAAAAGAAATATGTCTCTTAGTGCCTTTGAAAATTAGTCTCTCTGTTCTTATGGCTGATGTTTTTGTTGCATAGCCATGATCTGTTATGTCTGTTTATTTTGAAGATTCAGTTACCTTCCTTTATTCCACTGCAATTCTCAAAGTCTGGAGTAGAAGCACCAAACTTGAGGAGTGGGCCCATGGAAACCTCAGGAAGCAAGATAAATCCAAGTGCAAGGTCTTGCAGCTGGGTCAGGGTAATCCCAGACATAAGTATGGACTAGGAGAAGAAATCATTGAGAGCATCGCTGCAGAGAAGGGACTGGGTGTTCTGGTGGGTGAAAAGCTGAACATCAGCCAACAATGTGTGCTCATAGACCAGATGGCCACATGCATCCCAAGCTGGATCAAGAGCAGCATGGTCAGCAGGCTGAGGGAGGTGATTCTCCCCCACTGCTCTGCCCTTGTGATACCCCACCAGGAGAGGCGCATCCAGTGCTGGGTACTTGGCACAAGAAAAATGAGGATCTGTTAGAGTGGGTCCAGAGGAATGTGACAAAGATGTTCTCAGGGCTGGAGGGCCTCTCCTACAAAGGCAAGCTGAGAGAGATGAGGTTGTTCAGCCGGGAGAAGAGAAGGCAGGAGGAACACCTTATTTTGGCCTTCCAATACTTAAAGTGAGCTCATAATAGAGAGGGGAAGGGACATTTTATATGGGCAGATACTGATAAGACAAGGGATAACAATTTTAAACTAAAGAGAGAGATCTTTCCTGCTCTAAAGAGGAGAGGAGATCCTCCATTACCTGTAAATTTCTAAATATGAACAAATAGGCTAAACAGAGTAGACAAATTCACATCAGACTGTAATATGTATAAATTCAAGGCTTCTCAGCGCAGTTATCAAAGCAGTCTTTGGTTCACCACAAGAACCTGTTTACTTACAGGAACTGTGTGAATCCATGTTATAAATCTGGATTTGTGCTTGTGAGTCATCTTCAAATCACCATCAGCTGATATTTCGAAAAGAATGTTGTTACTACGCCATATTTACTTGAAGTCAATTTAATTTTAGTAGAACCCATACATTTAAATGAAACTGCTTTTATTGCATTTGATAACCATCTGTCTTGAGAAGCATATTGGTCTTTAGAAATCCTTTGATAGCAGTAGGATTTGAGACCAATGGAGAGCCAAAATCTGAAATTCACAGCCACTGATACTGAACAATTTTGATACCTATTGATAGGCACTGATACCTCTCAAATTTGATAGGCTACACCCGTAGGTCATAGAATTATATAACATAGAATCTTAGAACGTTAAGGGTTGGAAGGGAGCTTAAAGATCAAATAGTCCCATCCCCTTTGCCCTTTGCCCTTTCCCATGACCAGGTTGCTCAAGGCATTGCTATATTCTCATTTCAATAGGCATTTATTTCATTTGGTATAAGAATTATTATTTTTCATATTGGTACAAATCAAGACATAAAGATAAAAAAACCTTTCAATACTTGTAGGCTTCAGTATCTACCAATCTACAGAATTTTAGTGATTGCTATGTAATGTACTAGAATTAAAAATAATACTCTGTATTCCCCAGCTAAATAGTGCTGCAAATTGTTATTTCCCCAAAACTGAAGGGTTTAAAAAAATTGTGGGAAATAATGAAAGCTACTCTTAGACTAAGAGAATTACAGAATATATTCCAGTTAACAATAATGTTTTCATGAAACATTATTATCTAAGTGCATACTAATTTCCTGATATGTATCAGTATAATTATTAAAAATCATGTAACATGTAATTGTAGTGTAATTATCCACTGATCACTCCATTACTTTTCATCCATTTTATATGTGTATAGGTAGACAGAACAATTAAAAATTATGAGAGAGTTCATGTTGATTTGCACAGCTCTGATTCAAAGCAGAGCAAAATCCCAGATGGGCAGCAAAATGAAAACTGCACTGTGGCAAAATAAAAAAAAAATGTATTAACTTCCATTTTTTTGCCCTACTTTTTCTGAAAGCCTGTAAATTAACTGCTACTTACAGTTTTAATACAGAGCAAAGCATTTGTTATCCACTTAGCAGTGCTACTCATCTCTGCTAGGGAAAATATCAATGTTAGTGCACTTCCACTAAAAAGCACTCAAGAATTTTTTTTATAAAAAGCCAACAACTAAATCAGAAACAATTTAGCTTTGATCTAAAATCCAGCACTTGTATATAACAGAAATATAACTTGAAGGTTACTAATGCATTTTCTATGTCATGTCTATTTGTATAGAAATAAAAATAAAGTCACTTCATAGAAAATGCACTTATTGCTTTCTCCTCTAGCTGAGTCATTTTCAGGAGGACCTTAATCTCTTGCTATTGTTAAGGTTTGCATTTGCTGGGCTTTATTGACAATGTTTCAGTGAAATAATAATAAAATATCACAACCTAGCACTCACTAGTTGTTTTGTAGGCAGTGATATTGTTCTTTTATACATCATTAGAACTTGTTACTGAGATGCTGAAAAAGACCTAGAAAGTCTTACATACCGAGATATACAAGACAGTGAGAAAACTGGGTCCTAAAAAGATGAGACCTTCCACAATTGCAGGACTTTATAGGTGCTCAGCAGGCTTCAGGCTGCAGTCAGCTCCCAAGCTACATCTTGGTATGCATGTATATTATATATATATAATATATATATATATATATATATAATATATATATATATATATATATATATATATATATAATATATTATATATATTCACTATAATAATTGTTTTGTTTCTAAATAAACACTGAGTTTTTGAAGTATTTTCTTTCTCTCTGTCTTTTTTTTTTTTTTTTAAGAACTGCAAAACTGCATATGATTGAAGAGAAAGAGCTGAAATAATTTCTTAGGACTCTTAGAGTCCTAAATCTTGACCTGGGTTTTTACTAGGATGTACTTCACCATTTTTGTTTATTTCACTGTATATATATTATTCATTTTAATTAAATTGTGTGTCTGATAAAGCTTCTCAGCTTGAAGGTTTTGGCTCCTAATATGTTACAAGAAATGTAACTTCCTTCACATTTTTCCCTCTGCTTGCATACTGACTCGGAGATACTGTATGTAGTGATCCTGATTTACGGACTGAAGGCATGCTTTGATCCTGGGTCTCAGCTGTGGCACCTCACCAGGGACGTGCCAGCAGGCAGCAGTGCCAGGCACTGCATTCACACAGGCTGTACAGAGATTTTCAGGGTGCTTCCATGAATGTGCTGGGACATCAGGTATCAGCCTCAAGTCACCATGAACTCAGCAATTCAGATCAAGATGAGATATGTAGTCATCTGTCATCTTCTCACAAAACCTTTTCCTCAGGATCCCTTTTATGTTGAGGCATCATGGAGGCAATGTGCCTACCAGTAGTTAACTTTGTTTCCCAGGAAAGAACTTATTTTCTGTGGTTATAACAAGATCATCAGGGCTGGTGTCTGCAAGCTCAGCTAACAGATCAGCCTCCATGCTTAAACAAAGTGAGGTTTGTTTTTTTCTCCCCCTCGTTCACTAGTGCCCACTGTGAATTGTACATCATCCTTAAGTTTGTATAAACAGTATCAAGCACATGCGTATCACTTTGAATAGTGAGTGGCTCCTGTGAGGAGGTTACCTGTTACCTATTCCTCTGAAGCATCCTATATCACTCATTTTGTCACTTGTTATTTTTGACTCACAGAGTGCTCCAAGAGCATGGGTAAGTCAGGTGTATGCATATTCTTTATTTTATTTGAACTACTAAAACGTGATCTGTTTTTTCTCTCTGGATACATTACCTGGCAAAGCATAAACAAATCACAAGTAATAACATGAGTATGGCATCTGAATACCCTCTATGAGGTTTTCCCACAATGTCAAGGACACCTCTCCATTTTCCTGATGCATTTACAGTTGTTTTAGTTCTATTTGTTACAAGCGTGACAAAGTCTGTACAGCAGAATGGTATACAGACTCCAGCACTTGAACATGACTAAAGGAGAAACTGTTGGCTTCAATGACCTGTTACTGAAGGGGCATATCTAGCAAGTCCCTTCTGTTTTACAGGTCATAAATAATGCACATCCATCAGGTGCACATTCTCTGCCATTTCAGAGTGAAATATACATATATGTAATACAGAGCATGTTATGAAAATATAGTCTCTAGCTGACAAAAATGGGTGGTTGTACTGTGCTCAACATCAGAAATCCAATCCAAATCCTTCTGTTTAGGCATGTATGCAGACACCCTTCAGTCTGAATCTGTTTTTGTTCTGTTTTTGGTTATTTTTTTTTTTTTCCAGTGGTAGAGATGCATCCAAATGAATACATGAGAAGTCTTAACAATGCACATGGGCATGAACTTTCTAACAGACAAATTGCCCTCTGAAGCTGTAACAGGTCACACACATCCCACTTCCACTGGCAAGAGGATGCGATGGCTCTGAGCTCAGCCCTCAAGAAAAAGGAGCAATTCCTTGAGTTCACCCTCTGGGATCTCCCAGCAAGAAAGCCCATAGGTAATGACTGATTTCCTTGCCTTCAGCCTGTTTTCAAGGGAGTGAAAATATATACTTCCTCACCAGAGCTAACACTGAAGGATCCACGTGGTCATATGAGTTTTGTTTGTTGTTCCAACAACAAACAAAACTCATGTTTGTTGTGGAGTCTTACTGTGGCAGATATCTCTGTGAATTATGGTTACTTAACTGGCACACCAGAGAATTAGCTGCTCTCCTCTGGAGCTTGGGAACCAGCCAGTGTTAGGTGCCATGCAAACACCTCAGGAAAATGTCCCTCATTCAGTGGGCACAAGTCATGTTATGCCTACAAGCTGATGGCTACAACAGCAGTTTTCAACTTTTAGTGCTCCAAAATTTTTATTGCTAGTTAAGGAAAAGCAAACTGAAGCTTTCATCTCAATGAAGTCTATAATTTTGTGGGACCCAGTGGCTACATTTTTCACACAATTGTAGGAAGGGAATGAAATCTCTGGACAGCACTTATTATCCATTCTCCTAGGCATTCACTCCATATTCTGATAAAGATCAGCCTTGGGCTTTCTGGTTATTGATCTCAGCCAAAAGGCAGATCTCTCAGATCCAGAAAGTGTTCCTGCTAGTATATTTTCCTTCCAACATTAATACTCTTTCTAATTTCAACCTCAGGAAGCAGCCATAAATTGCAATCTGTGGCTTTAGCTTGTAAAAGCAGAGTGGTCTGTATGAATATGTGTTAGACAGCTTGTCAGAGACTGCTGCAAAATCCAATTATTTCTGGGGTTATTATACCTTTTTTCACTACGTCTACTCTAATTGAGGGGAAGGGGAGGGAAAAAAAGGTTGAATGTCCACCTCAGTGTTAGAAAAACACTAAACTCAAATAATTAGCTGAGATGCAATCAAGCTTGCCTATAGTATCTAAATGAAAAGCACTGTGTAGTTTGAGCTTATTATCTAAACTGGTAGGCAGAAAATACTGACGTATCTGTCCATAAGTCAATACGTACAAAAGTTACTTTAAATACAGTTGTGTGTCTTAATTGCCTTGATTGGGACAACTTCTGCCTTCTTCATTGGGTGGGACTGTTACAGACTTGTGAATCTGCTGGTGGGCTATTTCCTCATAGACATCACAACCCTGAGTGATGGCTCAATGTCCCCACAGAGACCTGCCAGGAGAAATGGGTCTGCACCCTGCAAAGGGAAGGTACAGCCTTTCACTCAAGGTGAGACAGAGATGATGATGGCTCAAGACCAGGTTACCAAACCAAGAGATCATTGTTGGCTTTCTCCAAGCCCAGTGCAGCCTTGTGGTCTCTTGCCCAGGGTCCTGTCCAGATGGAGTTTTACTCCGTCTCAAGTCTTAAGCAAATCAATTGAGAGTACATAAAGGCAGGATAGAAAACAAAAAAAATCACTGAGCCTGCTGTTCAGCAAGTCTGTTACAAAAAAAAAGGACAAGCTCTTTTTCTGGTTTTAACTTACAACATTCTGAATTAATTCCTAAATATATGGAGGAAGGTGTTGCAGTCCATACAGATAGATTTAAGGAACAAATCACACTTTGATATACATAGTTTACTATGTGCACTGGTATTGTAAAATCTCAGTTATAGCTGTGAATTATTTGCTTATTGTCGCTCCTTGGAATTTATGGGACAAAGATCAGGTTTAAACAAATCTTTTTTGATCTTTTAATGGATTTTGTAAAGGCAAAGGTAAGAAAATGCCATCTGTATTTCTACATATTTGATCATTATTAGAATTGAGGTTTTTTTAAGCTGTTGATGTAGAAACAAAAAGGAATTTTTGTTTGCATTAGCTACAGAGCAAGTATCAATCCCAGCATTAAATGTTGTTACACGGCTCTCTGATGATAATAACCCTTTGTTTCATTATAGAACTGACATCAGTTTTCTAGATTATACTAATTGAAATGTTTCGGAAGCAGTTAGTGTTGAACAAATGGTCTGGCTCTTGGGTGATATTAGTTAATTAGTTAATAAATGAGAGGTTTGAAAAATAGGATAAAAACAACTTAACTTGTAGACTGGATATAAGTCAAATGGTTTATGCTTGCCCTTTATAGTCTAGAGGAATTTTCTCAGAAAATAGCTAGCTAGACGAAGAATAAATACAGTGACATTTGTCTGGATTTGATGATTGTCTTGAATTTGTATGCACCATATTTTTTTTTTTTTTTAATTGTATAGTTCAAGTTTACAGTCCTGAAGCAACTTAAAAGCTGGAGCTAGCTTTTGGTGATGGGCTACCAAGTCAGCTTATGGCCATGTAGGCAGCCTTGAATTAATCATCTCAAAATTGAAGGGCCAAGACCAGACCAGGCCTGTACAATTTCTGGTGTGGATCGGAAGTGGCAGTGGGCAGAAACTGGAACACAGGAGGCTCTGTCTGAACATCAGGAAACCCTTCATTTTACTGCAAGTGTGACCAAACTGGAATATGTTATCCAGGGAGGATGTGGAGTCTCCCTCCTTGAAGATACCCAAAAGCCATCTGGACACAGTCCTCAGTAACTTGCTCTAGGTCACTCTGCTTGAGCAAGGAGGTCGGACCAGATGACTTCCAGAGGTCCTTTCCAACCTCAGCAAGTCTGTGATTCCATGAAGAGGGGTAAGAGCCTGCATCATTTTATATTGCCTGAGAGCTAGAGATATATAATGATGTATCTTGGCATAATCCATAATTCAACCTCTTCCTCTGCATTCAAAACTAACCCAGATAGCAACAGGTCTGAAGTATGAGACTTTGGCAGAAGCAAAATTTACTGGCACAAGCAACATCCCAGCAATCTCCTCTCCTAAGCAGTTGCCTGCCATGCTCATGGCTCAAGACAGTCCAGTCTACACCTCATTTAGGTTAAGTTCTTACACATCCAAATGCTGTTTCTTCTTGAGTGTATGCCTTTTCATAGCCCACTGAAGCTCTCATCCAATTGCACATTTTTTAGTAGCTTCAGTATGTCCTGGCTAAAAAGATCTCTGCAGTTCATTACTGGATATTTTTTTTGTAACAGAAGCAGAACCAAAAACATATTCCTATGAATTACAATTTTTAAAAACTAGAGTAACTACAGTGAGTGTTTATCCTGGCAAGATTCAAAGGGTTACTAAAGCTTTTCAATAACCTGTAATTGGTATCATACTTTCCACAAGCTCATTATACTGTATCTGTGAAAACTGATTTAGTGGTAGACTTGGTGAAAGTAACAGTTGGACTTGATGATCTGAAAGATCCTTTCCAACCTAAAAATGTCTATGATTCCATGATTCTGTAGTAAATAACAAGTTCCCTTCATACTGAATTCATCCACACTGCAACAACCCTAGTCACAGCACAAAGTGCTGCAACCAACAGAATCTGTTGGTGACATTTTATGGCAAGCTGAGTTCAGATTTGTTGTGCAATGCAAGAAATTGATAAAAAAATTGATTATTTGGCATATGTGACCTTAAATTGAGCTTACACTTTAGAATTTTTTCCACATATTTATTTACAATTCTAAGGAGAAAAAGAGTATAATCTATGAAAAGATGCCAAAATGCCCAGTAGATTGTTAGTAATTAAATGGTAACACCAACCCAATTTTTCCATTCCTTACACTCTGTGCAAGTTTAGTTTGGATTTATGACAGCTATTTTTGTCTGATGATAACAGATGTGATAAGAAATGTCCTTAAGATGGTCACATCAAAAAACTTGATGGACTGTATGTGGCATCTGATCTATGTACTTCATCAGCTTGGAACCTTCCACACATCTAACTCAGATACATTTTCACATTGCACTCAGCATGCCTTTCATACAGCAAGAAGCTGTGAGTGCATCTCAGAGGTAGGAAAAGGGCTAGAAAAATATTTCTGTGCTTGCACTGTCCTTTGGTTCCCAATTTCACTCATACCTCTCAAGTTTGCTTCCACAGACAGCAAACAGTGTCACAGTTTCACAGTGATCTCCCATGAATGTTCTCACATACCGGCCCTCAGATACAGACACTGAATATTTACCTGGGTTCAAAGAGAGACAGGCAAATTTGTTTCTCTAAATTTATACAAACTATGGACACATTAGGAAGTCCACATGATATATGACTATGGGTAGGTGAAAAAGTAACTGAGGAAGAAAATTTAGGTATGAATGTCCTACTCTTCTGCTCTTCCCCAAGCATCTGCTGTTGGCTATGTCAAAGGCAGAGTGGTGGCTTAGCTGGTTCTTTGGTCTGACACACTATGTCTGTATTCATGCTAAAGAGCATCATTTATTCAAGATATTCCTTACTCATGCACTTTGAATTGTTCCCCGGTGAATATGTAGAGGACCTCAGTGCCTGTATTAGATGATTCAAGTTTAGAAGTGTGTCTCTTCTGCAGGAGCCTTGGGAAATGAAGAGCCATCACAACAGAGGAACAGATTTGCTCATTTTGGCCTGTCAGGTGGATGAAAGTATGCAGGAAATTATTTATCCTGGCTTTTAATTGGTGGCATGAACTCTTCCTTCCCCTTTCAAGTAGTTTCATCCTCCTCTCTTTGGACCTGCTGTCAAGGAGTATAAGATGGGGCCTGAGCCCTGGGTCTGCTTCTGTGACTCAAAGCTGCAGAACCATTACCCATCAGAGCATCACCAGACTGGGGGCTGTGATATGTCTTGCCTCTAGTCAGTACATCAGTTCCCACACCCAGGTCAGGAACAGGTTCCCTCAGTGGTGTAAACTGATAAATGTCATCTCCCCTCTTGGAGGCTACACAACAATGAGCCAAAGTTTTCCAGCACTGGAAATTCAGATTTAGATATCTGAATTTGAATGTTTGTGACTCAGTCCCTTACAGGAACTATCTGTAAGCAAATTAATTCAATATTCAATAATGAAAAGTTAATTCCTGAACACAATGAATAGGAAAAATTTAACCAAGATGACTTAGATGACATTATTCTGGGAATAAAATTCTACTCAATTGTGATTTGTGTGTTTAAATAGAAAGACCTTTAAATCATGGTTAACCTGATTCATGATATAAATTCTATTGGCTATCCAAGCACCACAAAATGTCGAGGCAGGCTCCAAACATCCCTGATGTAGTTTCAACCATGGATTGCTATTTTTTTCCCTTAAGTAAAGGTTTCTTTTTTAAAATTGCTTTCCCTTTGATTGTTTATACCTACAGAGATTATATTTTCATGTCCATTGCTGATTAAAGAAAGTGAAAAAAAAAAAAGGGCCAAATTCTCATATTGGTAGCTGGGATTTCTTGGGGAAAGAAAAATATGAAAAAGAAAGGTAGAGAGATTTCTCATGAGCATTGAAAAGGGTAAAACATTAATGGAAATCTGACAGTACAGTTCTCTGAAATGGAAAATTTCATTTTCTAATGGTAGTGTAAGTTCCCTGAGGGGATAAGGGACTTGCTTTTGCACTACAAAAATATTCACAGGTAGTCCTGGGAGGGAGGGAAGGGGAAGGGGGAAGGGAAAAGGGGAAGGGAAAAGGGGAAGGAGGAGGGGGAAGGG